TTGATGTATTCTCACTTGTCTATTTTTTCTCTTGTTGCCTGTGCTTTGGGGTCACATTTTTAAAAAATTTATTACATACACCAATGTCATGGAGCTTTTTCCTTATGTTCTAATCTAGTAGTTTTACATTTTCTCTTCTTACATTTAAGTCTGTAATCTATTTTGAGTTGATTTTTGTATATGGTTTGAAATAAGGGCCTACTTTCATTCTTCTCCATGTGGATGTTCGGTTTTCTTGACATTTCTTAAAGAGACTATTCTTTTCTCATTATGTATTCTTGACACCTCTGTCAAAAATAAATTGACCATAAATGGGTGGGTTTATTTCTGGTCACTCTATTCTATTCCATTGGTCTATGCATTTGTTTTTATGCTAGTACTGTGCTGTTTTGATTACTATAGCTTTGTAGTATATTTTGAAGTCAAGTAGTTTGATGCTTCTAGCCTTGTTCTTTTTGCTTAAGATTGCTTTGGCTATTCACAATCTTTTGTGGTTCCATACAAATTTTAGGATTTTTTTTTCTATTTCTGTAAAAATGCCATTGGAATTTTGATAGGGATTGCTTTGAATCTGTAGATCATGAATATTTTGAAAATATTAATTCTTCCAATCCATGAATATGGGCTATCTATTTTAATTTCATTTGTCAATGTCTTATAGTTTTCAGTGTGTAGGTTTTTTACCTCCTTGGTTAAATTTATTTCTGAGTATTTTATTTATAGTTATTATAAATGGGATTTTTAAAAATTTCTTTTTCAGATAGTTTATTAGTTCATAGAAGTACTGCTAATTTTTATATGGTAACTTCGTATCCTGCAGATTTACTCAATTTGTTTATTATCTATAACAGGTTTTTTGTGAAATCTTTAGGGTTTTCTATAAATAAGATCATGTTGTCTGTGAACAGGGACAATTTAACCTCTTCCTTCCAATTTGGATGCAGAAAACATATTATGATCACATAAAAAAACAAACGGAAAAAGTATAGCAATTGAATTTTTTAAATAAATAATGGAGATTGACTTGAAAAGGTTTATTTTCATTTTATCCCTTGCAATAGATATTTTTTCAAGCTCTAACATACACTAAGATCTGACAGCAGAAACTTTTGAAAGAATGATTTGAGAACATCAACAAAACAAAAAGATTTGAGAGTTTGCAGGAAGTCTGGCCTTACTATTTATTAATTAATTATAATTAGTCAAAACCTATAATATGATAGTCAAAACCTACTATGCACTTTGAGTGGTTTTGAACTCTGAGAGAGACTATGAAACATATATATATATATATATATATATATATATATATATATATATATGCACATCATCAGCATTCAAACGAGGTTCCATAAGAAGTTGAAATCTCCTTAAGGGAACATTGGTAGAACTTCAAGTCCTTTACAGTTTTCAGAAAAAAAGTATGTTTTATCATACCAAATCACTGGCAGAGAGTTAAGAATACACATTTTGTATAAATATGTATTCACTTAATTCATGAAACAGAATCTTTTCTTTTATAGCCAAAAGAGCCATTCTCAGAGAGCATATGGGCAATCAAAATATTCTCAAAGCCTGAAAGCCAGAAGTAGCTTTTGGTTTATTTACTGGGGTATATCTTTCTAAACATTCTTTTTAAAATTAGCCCCAAAGGGCAATAAATTAGGCCTCTCTTAGGCCTGAGTGAATAAGAAAGATGAGGATTAAAGGACTTTCAGCAAGGATACCATTCACATGGTGTCTGTCTCAAGGTGTAGACCCAATGAGGTAAGTTTAAACAGGAAAAAGTAAACATAGAACTATTACTCTGTTCATGCAGAGCAGTCAAAACTTTCTCAGCAACATGCTTTTCACAAACTCAATGAGGCAGCTCAGGTGTCAAGAAAATGTATCTATGAAGGTTTCTCTTTCTTAGTTTTTTCCCAGTTCCAATCTCATTACTATCTATCAGCAGTGTCTGAGATACTGATGAGAAATCATAAACATTAAAGAAATAGATGGGTCAATTTTGATAGAAATGGAAATGTTGACATATAAGCAGGTGTTCGTTAATGAAGGATAGGTTCAAGACTAGTGCTCCGCAGAAAGAGAACAAAGTGAAATAAACCAAGTTTGAATTTCAAATACCTATAGAATTCGGCATTTTGTAATAAACGTTTTCTTTCCCATTGTATATGCCAAGAGACCAAAACATACAATGTTTGTTAAGTAATTAGTATCAATCAAAAGTTTAATGTTAAAAACAAATGGAGAATATCAAATGGTATCATTGGTGAAGCACCCTTTCTCAGTGTTCTAAATATTGTATTGATGGCCATTAAAAATAAATATTCAGCACTTTGGAAGACTGAGGCAGGCAGATCACCTGAGGTCGGGAGTTTGGGACCAGCCTGACCAACATGGAGAAACCCCATTTCTACTAAAAATACAAAAATTAGCTGGGCGTGATAGCACATGCCTGTAATCCCAGCTACTTGGGAGGCTGAGGCAGGAGAATCACTTGAACCCAGGAGGCAGAGGTTGTGGTGAGCCAAGATCACGCCATTGCACTCCAGCCTGGGCAACAAGAGCGAAACTCTGTCTCAAATTAATTAATTCACTAATTAATTAAAAGAACTGAAATAATGTCCATAGTGTCCAGATATAGGAATATTCTGTTTCAACAATCCAACATGAAGCTGCTGAGGGAATTCACCTGTGTCAGATATTTTAAGATGTAGTTAGCAAATTCTCACTTTCCTGGAATCACATAAAATATTCATAGATTCCTGTCAGTAGTTGCAAAGTTAAATTTAAAGCCCCATTCTTGGCTTCATGAGATAAAATATTTCTACAGGATCTCTATTTTCTCGACTTTATTATTCCTAGTGCAGTTGGAACTATTTCGCAATCCCATGCTACCATGGATCTAGAACATAGCATCATACTTTGTGGCATCTCTCCTTCATAACTGTCTTTGGAGCCATACATTCATTCACATACGTGCAAAATGCAAGTGGGAAAGCATTTGGCTTTTCTAGAATTGCAAATTTATGGAGTCTATATAATGTCATTGATCCATTCATCCAGGTGAATAGAGCTACCTTTATTGAGCACTGACTCTGTTCCAGGTAGCTTACATATATAACTTCTAATTGTTGCAACCCAGAAAAGTGGACAACATTATCACTATTTCATAGAAGAGAAAACTTGACTAATTGTGTCAAATCAACTTTTCTAAAGTTACTCAGATCGAACCCTTAAATGAGGCTGACTCCAAAGACCATATTCTTTCTATAACACCACAATATGCTCTCTTATTATCTTGAGAGGCTCTACCAATTTAAATAGAAAAAACGTTAATGGCATTCATGGCTCATTGTTGTTTTTTTTTTTTTATAAAAGACTAAGTTCTGTTTCATTTTCCACTAAACCTCCTTAGTCCTCTTGGTAATTGAATAACCAAGCCCTGCCTTTTGTATGCCATCAATGGGCAATATAGAAAGGTAGATAAAGAAGAAAAAATAAAAATAAAAAAGAGAGAATATTCCATCTGTCTACCTGGTAGTGACTCATAGAGGAAGCAAAAGGAAAATTCTTATTTTCCTGCTAATTATTTTTCTGTTTAAAGGAGGAAAGGAATGGCATGAGGTGAAGGATAAATAGAGAATATTGATGTGGTAATAATGATCAAAAAAAAGAACAAAGATGAGTTGCTTTGGGGGTTATTTCTCCATCTCTGGCCATTCCACTCTTCACTGAATAAGTGTATTCTATTTGGCTTTCAAGCTAGGGTTGTCATGCGAGAAGTGTACGTTAATTTCCTATTTTCTCATAAGTTTCTTTTGGGGATAAGCCTTTTGGTTTCTGCTGTTTATTATTTCAAAGGCATCTATATGCTAATATATTTTATGCTTATTATTTTCATGTTTGTCCCTTAGGTTATGCTTCATATCACCCACCAGGGAGGATCATATCTCATAAAAACTTTCGAATTTGATTTTGAAAATTATTCAGAAAAATTTAAGCCATGCTCTCTCCCCACATAGGAAAGACTATGCTCTGGAGAGTCTTGTAATTTGCAGAAAATGGACTGGGATAACATTTGAGTTGCATGCTACCAAAATCCTCTTGAGAAGGACAGCTAGCTACCCAGAATATTTAACACTGTTACATTAAAATGTTGGATGAACGATTAAAATAAAGAATCTAGTCATAGGTTGTAAGAAGTCGCTAAATTATTACCTTTAATCCAAAGAAGAGAAAGGAAAAGCTGTTTTCATTCTCCCCAGTCTCTGAGGTGTGTTACCTGCTTCGATTGCTATAAATACTGCATTTTAATTGTATGTTATCCTTCCTTTGTATCATTTCTAGAAAGTTAATTTTAATGATACTAAGGACTGAAGCTGAGTTTGTGCATAGAGGAAGAATCAGATAAAACAGAAATCTCATATAATAAGCCGACTTAATGTTTTCTTCCAGAACTTTTATTACAGAGATTTTTAAATAAAGTCGTAATCTATTTTGAAAGTAGGTTGTTATTTTAAAAATAAAATAAAATTAGCCAATTAACCTGACATAAAATATTTATTCAGGCATCATCTTTTAAAGAAATCAAAGCTTAATAACGGATTCCTTGACGTGAATTCCTAGGATTCCTAGTTTACCTTGGAGGGCATTTATCATTCCTCCCTTGATTGAGAATTGGACTCCTTTTGTTCCAAAGCCCTTCAGGGGTACAAATAAAGGGCATCATTTCACCCTCTACTGTATCATTCTCTGCCCTACTCTGTTCTTAAGCAAGGAGTCAACAACACTGAGGAATTTGTACACTAGGTTTAAGTTCGTTTTGTGTACCAGCCTCCTCTTTACTCATTCCTCTACCTTTCAGTAGCTGCACCTAAATCCCTTTCTATTTTGTTGTTGCTCTTAAATGCTTTCACTTTTAGACCTCAGCAGTGACTTCATTCTGTAAGAAATGCAACTCAATAACTGGTATTTCTTCTCTTGGTTCATTTTAGTGCCTCTTGAACTACAAGACAGTTTTGTTCCTCGGAGAGTTTGCTCTCAGAGTTGGAAGAAAGGTCTCCTTCTGAAAGGAGTCCTGACAAGCAAACTAGGCTCTCCTCCAGACAGAAGGGGGTAAGAGTGAGCCTACAAAAGTCAGGTGAAGACAGGTAACTGAACAACATGTGCTAGACCAGCCTACCAGCATTTCAACACTTATGGTCATAATCTCTCTGTAAATAAGAACTATCGCTGGGGACACATTTTGTGGATTTGTTAGAATAAATGATTGGTAAAATGTTATTTTACCAGTTGAAACATGACTGTATTTAGTGCATTCTGTTAAAATTAAAGACCTATAATGGTTTGTGTGCTAAACCCTGTGACCCATCACATTTTTCTTTTTATTCTAATTATCTGCCTGGGATAATAACAAAAGAGCTACACCTTTCTTTACCTTTCAAAGTTGTATTTGGAGAATAATTCATTGAACTAGCACATTTGGCTTAATGCAGCCCCAACTGAGAAGAAATGGCCTTTTCTTGCTCATCTCAGAACATAATTCAAAGATAATTCAAATAGAAAAGAAACTGTGTGCAGTTAGACTCCAAAATTTGTGGGGTGCTGTTGAGCAACCTGATTAAGCAGCCTGCTAGGAGTGTATTACTGTCTTCATGAACTAAGTTCCATGAGGGCAGGAAAGATGTCTATCAACAGCTCTTAGCTCATAGCTCTAAAAGGTGGCTGCAGGTTGTGACTTTTAGCAAATGTGTTGTGGTCATGCCTCAGTCTAAATGAGCAGTGAACTTTGGCTTAACTCAACTTCAGAAATGCTGTGTGATCTTCAACAGTTGACACTCCTGGTCCTGTAATACCCCTGGAGCATGATGAATAGCTTGAAGCTTTGAAATAATATAGACTCAAATCAAATAAGCCTGGGTTTGAGTCCCAGCATCAATACCTACTAGTTTTCTGACCAACTTCAATCTCTTCTAAGCCTCTCTAAGCCTCATTCCCTGCATGAGTAATATTAATTGAAAAAAAAAAATCAAGTTTACTTAAGTTGACTGCAAGGACTAAATGAGATGATGTATTTGCATAGTATGCACACATAGTAAATGCTCAACTAATGGTGACTTTTCTTTTCTTTTCTTTTTGCAGTTGCAAGATTTAATAGAGTGAAATAGAGTGAAAACAGAGCTCCCATACAAAGGGAGGGGACCCAAAGGGGGTTGCAGTTGCTGGCTTGAATGCCTGGGTTTATATCCTGATCCTTGTCCCTCCTGCTGTGCTCTCAGGCAATAGATGATTGGCTATTTCTTTACCTCTGTTTTTGCCTACTTAGCATTTTAGTGAACTCTCTGATTGGTCGGGTGTGAGCTAAATTGCAAGCCCCGTGTTTAAAGATGGAAGTGGTCACCTTCCCAGCTAGGCTTAGGGATTCCTAGTTGGCCTAGGAAATCCAGCTAGTCCTGTGTCTCAGTCCCCCCTCTCAACAGAAAAACCCAAGTGCTGTTGGGGAGGTTGGCCAATGACCGTTCTAACTGCTTCCTGCTGAAATGGGGCGTAGTAGGGGTGGTGCAGTTGAGATTTCCTCGGGAGGAGTGCCTTCGATGTCATTAACATCAGAGCATGGGCTAGCAGGCCGGTGCAGGGGTCCGCGATGGATTTTAGTCATGGACTGCATCTGGGGCTCCATTTGAAGATGCAGTCTTACTCTGTCACGCAGGCTGGAGTGCAGTGGTGTGATCTCAGTTCACTGCAACTCCACCTCCTGGGTTCAAGCGATTCTCCTGCCTCAGCCTCCCGAGTAGCTGGGATTACAGGCATGTGCCACTACACCCGGCTAATTTTGTATTTTTAGTAGAGGTGGGATTTTGCCATGTTCGTCAGGCTGGTCGTGAACTCCCGACCTCAGGTGATCCACCTGCTTTAGCCTCCCAACGTGCTGGGATTACAGGTGTGAGCCACCGCACCCAGCCAATAGTGACAATTTCTATTGTCATTGTGACTTTTAATAGTAATAATATTTCTAGGATTGTTATTATTATCATTATTAATCATATTAATGGTTATGCAGAAGTTTCAAAGTTTATCCCTATGGATAACTTAAGTAGTAGAAATCAAAAGATGCATACATTAGATACTTTTCTGCCAATAAAACGGGGCCTACAAAAATAAACATGGACAATTTCAAGTTTTCAGTGTGATTCACTGGAGACCTGTATATCATTACAAAGTTTTAGTAAACACTTTTAATTTAAAAAAAAAAAGTCTTAAGATAGCACAAAAGGTAAAAATCTTAAAGATTCACACAATATTATTACTTGTATATGGCCAATATCAATTATTCAGGTGAGATAGAAATAAAAAGTCAATTTAAAGCTAGATATTTCTACCCTCAATGCCAAGAATCTAGGCGTCTAGCTAATGGTTTTGCTCTTTCCCTTTTCTGGGGTACCTGATATTATGAAACATTGTTTTGTTATTGGCTGCTTTTGTTGCTGGTAATAGTGATTATAGGATACAATTTAAAATTATTAAATATTGTGAGGAATGGAATTGATCAGAATGAAGGCTTTCCATAAGAAAATACACCTTGCTAGTTGAAAAGCTCCAGTGATCTTCCAGGACATCTTCATGGGGCCAGAACGTGATATGAAAGCATACGGCCTAGGGCCATTGAAAAGTTATGGTCTTGCTGCTAAGTAAGAGAAGAGTAACTAGGCTTGTATTTGCCTCTACAGCATATGGCATTACACAGAAAGAAAAGTCAGATGTTGATTAAACCTTTGAAGGACTGGAATGGATCATCCCATTCTGTACTAAAAAGTCAACTTTGACCTTTAATTGCATGTCCCCCTCAACAAAAGACCTGTAAACATATTTGCTAAAAGGTTCTTATTGCATCCAAGACTCATTTCAAGTAAAAAGAAAAATCTTTTTTCTTTGTATTTGGAAAAGCTCTAATGACAATACAGCCTTTATTGAAATACTATCTTGACCGTATATTGGTATCTTTCATTTAATGTTTATCCTTTCCTGTGGATTTCCTTCTTTCATGAAACCTTCCCTCCAAGGAAATGCTGACAGTAAATTAACATCCATGCTTTGGTGTATTTTATGGTGTTTCATTTTAAATATGCACACTTGGATTAAAATCCAACATCATCTACGTTTCACGTGTTTAGCAGATAGTAGAGGCTAAATAAATGCAGTTAAAAGAAAGTAATCTCACTAGAATTACAGCCACAGTTTCCTAGATTTCATTTCTATTCTGTCAGCCCTCAGTGAAGCTAGTATAATTTCCCTTCAAATGGGCAAGATTTGGAATTGTTCACAGTCACAAGTGAGAGAACAAAATAAGAGAGATTTTCATTTATAAGATTGCCTTTCTCTTATCTATTGGTCTTGCCTCACAGACCGTCTGTCTGTCTCTGGAAAGCAAAGTCAATAAAAATGATTAGAGTTGACATCTCACAAATGTACACCCTTAAACCATGAAGCATTAATGCTGTGCAGGAAATATTTTTCTGACCTTTTCAAATTGCATCCAACTGTCTTGGGAATTTCTCAGTGACTAGAGGTAATAAGGTTCAATCCATTTTACCGGCTGGCTTCAAATTTAGTTCCTCCGAAGGTCTAACTTATCTATTCTTTGCATCTTGGTCCCAGCATCCATTCGGCACAGAAACCCATGCATCTAATCTTTCTTCCCCCTTCTCAGGTTCTTGCTAAAGGATCACACTGTGGAATCTACAACCATGACGACTTTCCACTTATTGCTCCCTTGAAAAATAAAATATTAGCACAAGAAGATAAGTGGGCATGTTGTCTTTTGAGAAGCCCTGGTTGAATTTAATTAGCTTTTAGATTTCATCCCATCTTACATCTCAGTTTTTACCTATGTGATTTATGCCTCAGTAATCTTCATTCTGTAAAACTTTTTCAACTTACAAACCATGGGCATTCTCTCGAATATTAAAGAGGCAAAAATATGTGAATTTCTTTTACGTTAAATTAATTTTGCTTTTTCTTCTGTGAGTCCAAATGCAGTAGACATACTCCCCTAGAAAGGAAGGGAGTCAGCCAAGTGTGACATGCTAAAAGGCAGCTGGGCAGCCTCTTCACCGTGTTCCCTGAAGGAGAACAGAAAACAGAAGCTGGGGACACATTTCTTGACCTCATGAAAGTATTGGATGTCAGGAAGCCTTGACAAGAAATTAAAAACTTGTCTTACTTTTTATATTTAGAGCGTCTCCATGTTGACTGTGATTCTGGGGAGATATCAGTGTTTCCTCATTTGTAGGACATACCAAATTCAACAGCATTCTCTGCTGTGTTGTTCCCATCCATTGCCTCTGTACTGCCTTCTGCAGAGGAGATTAGAATCTTGGCTGGAATTTCCTGTGGTCAGTGGAGCTTGGAGCCTTTTTCTGGCTTGGAAGGCATGTTCATGGGCAAACAGCCACCAGGATGAAAAAATCTTTTTGAAGTTACCCTTTTAAGATTTCGCATTTTCTTGTACACTAATTATCAAGTTTGATCATCATAAAATACTTGACTTTATAAAAATGAGATTATTTCAGACAACCCTATTTAGAAAATAGACTTGGAAAAAGGAGGTGAAGAGCAGACAATTTTAATATTTAGAACACTGTATTTTTTTTCCTGAAGAAACTATATTCATGCCAAAGTTCATCTTCATAATATGGCTTGTCTTTTTCACTTAAAACAAGGTGCTTAAAGTTTTTGGTCAAAGTTAAAATGGAATATAACAAGTTATGTTTAAGAATAAGCTGCTATTTCATCATTTGAAATTTTACCTGTCTTAATAATAGAGTCACAGTCCTGATGTTCTTTTATGACTTGGGTGTCATTAGATGGCATTTTGTTTAGGAAAGAAGGAGTATTTTGGCAGTTTTACAAATAGATTTACTTGATATTTGCAATGCAACTTAATGTTTTTATCACTAGCAACTTAATGTTTTTATCACTAGTCAAGGAAAATGAAGACTTTCAGGTGCAGTAATTAAAGCTGTCTGTTTCTTGAGTGGAGCTGCAGTACACCTGAGACGTTGTTAATTCAACTGTGTGTATGTCTGCACGTATGTGTGCAGCCATGTGTGTGGTGTGCATACTAACTTAAATTCAGGATTGGAAGGCAACAACTCTGAAAACAAATGGACTCTATTTTCTCCCTGTGGATGCCACCTCTTAATAAATTGAAAACTTAGCTATACCTATGAAACCCTTTCAGAACACAGAATGGCTTAGCTGATTGCTCTAATTATTACATATTTAGTGCCTCCTCTTTCTCATTTCTGAGATATACTGTCTTTGCTTCAGAACCTGGAGGTAAAACAAAGTCCATGTTTAGACTTCCCATTGTAAGCAAAAGTGATTTGAATCTGGTAGAAGAACGAAGTGAAGTGATGCTGGGGGTCACTTTGTACTGGGATTGTTTTGCTTTGCTGGGTGTGCTTAGAGTTTGGAAGATGGCTGTGGAATGAATCAGGTAGAGGGGCACAAAGGGAATAGGTCATCTAATTAACAGTGCCAATAATAATAATGGCTGATTCTTACTGGATAACTACTACTTACCGGGTGTATCACAGGTAACTCATACAACTTCACTTAATCTTTACAGGAGCCCAATAAGACAGGCACAACTATCTTCGACTTACAAGGAGAAAAAGTGAGGCTTAGAGAGAGAGATTGTATGAAGAAAATCATTTTTACATGGAAAGGAATGAAACAGTCTCTTCGTTGCAATCATTGGTGTTTTTATTTTTCTTCCTCTGCCTTTTCCTTCTCCTTTCTATCCTCTTCCTTCATCACCTCCTCCTCTTTCTTCTTACTTAGCTTCTCCTTCTCTTTATTTTTCTTTTTTTCTCTTTTCCTTTTCTTTTTTTTTTTTTGAGATGGAGTTTCGCTCTTGTTGCCCAGGGTGGGGTTCAATGGCACGATCTCAGCTCTCCACAACCTCCACCTCCCAGGTTCAAGCGATTCTCCTGCTTCAGCCTCCCTAGTAGCTGGGATTACAGGCATGTACCACCACACACGGCTAATTTTTGTATTATTAGTAAAGATGAGGTGTCGCCATGTTGGCCAGGCTGGTCTTGAACTTGTGACCTCAGGTGATCTGCCCTCCTCGGCCTCCCAAAGTGCTGGGAATACAGGCATGAGCCACTGGGCCTGGCCTTTATTTTTCTTTTCTCAAACACAGAATGAAATGTGGCCAGGTTGTTAAAGCACTATTCCATTGGGTTTTGGTCAACAAGGACAGGTCTTTTTCTCTCCTTCATCATGGAGTTGCTCTTAGTAGAGCTACTTACTTAATTATTTTGGAAGTTTGATAAGGGCTAAGAGTTCTGGCCGATGACTTACTTATCATCACATACTTTTTCATTAACTTAAAAGATGAACACAGGTAGCAGAGTATGGTGATTATATGCTGTTCCTTATAAGCTCACATTCAAATCTGCCTTCTATCTTTTGTCTGTGTTAATGATTGTTCAGGGTTAAAAGGGAGAAAGAATGAATTGAGGATAGCATATGTCCAAAGATATTTTTGTGAGTAACTCAGTAAAACCTGTTTCTATAAAGAGAATGTGTTACTGTATCAGGATATCTAGAAAATTAAATTTTTTTCAGATATACAGCTGAGATTTTTTTTTTCTATTTCCCTCACACATCAATATTGCAAACATAAATTCCTGATTGCTAGAGCAGGCTTATTTTTGTGACGTTAGCTCAATGGAGATATCGATGCCCTGGGATTCAATTTCACTCTTATAGTGATGCCTAATATACTTCAATTTGTGTCTCAGGGAAGGGGCTTGGTTATTTATTCTGGGTAAACTGGGCTTTTTGTGTTGCCACAGCATCACTTAGACTCCTGATACTGAGGCCAGCAACCTGACCGGGCCTCATTTGTTCCCAGGCGTAACAGGAGGATAGAAAATGGATTCAAATCTAAGCAGAGTGGTAGAATCTCAAAAGCTCTGTCACCAACACTTACTGCAAATATACTCTTCCTAGAGGGAGTGTTCTGAAAATTTGGTCTGCATCTCACCTGTGATAAATATCCCCTTTAAAAACATTCACACAGAACGACACAATAAAGGCAGCATGGTTTTAGATGCAAATATGATTTTGAGGTCTCTCTCTCTCTTTCTCGTATACATTGGGTCTGGGGTCTTTCGAATATGCATGTGATCTCAGTTTAGGGTTCATGAATGACTTTGTGTTTTGTGTAAGGCCCTTTGATTTCCACTCTCGCCATTATTGGAAATAAACTCAAAATTGTATAAACAAACAGAGTAAATTGTTCTGAAACTCTGCCATGCAGAGTTCATCTTCAACACTTTGCTTTCTATTATTGCCGAAGGAAGAGAAATGACAGCATTGGCTTTAAATCTGCAAATTTAGTAGTGGGGCACCTGCCTGTGCTTCTGTGATATACTGGTAATCTCCACTTACTGTCAGGGCTGCGGCAGTATTTATTTTTCCTTAATTGGAACCCCACTGATATCCTGTGGGATTCCCTCCCCCCCGCCCCCCACCTTGGCAAGGCAATATATCCTTATAGACCTAGATCATAACCACCATGGTCTATTGTAATATTATAGTCAGGAATATCAACACTGGGATCAAAATTAAACCAACCTCCAGTTTCTAGACTGCCTTTTGATATTATTAGGAACTCACCATTTTTCTCAGTGTTTATCTTTGAAGTTAAAGAAATGTCTGCAGGAGTTCAAATTGAATATGCTTTATCACAGTGTTTCCTCTTCTGTTTTAATTCTTCATTTAGTTGCTTCTAGAAGTGTGGGGATGACTGATTACATTGCAAACTGTTACCCATAATGAACAAGTAAACAACAAACATGAGTGATTTGGGCGCTCTATATAGAAATGTTATTTTAAAAATACCTTCATCCTTTCTAGGTGAACAAATATAATGAGATGCCTGGAAAACCTTAATTTTATTAAAATTAAATTCATTAAAATTAAGTAAATCCTTTTAATCTTAACTTTTGGTGTCAAAACAGGATTTGTTACCTTGGACATCAGAGGGCCACTTCATTGTCTTTATTTATGGTTTCAGCATTTGCTTTTCCCATGTGCTATTTTTATTTTTGTCATTGAAGTTCATGAAGACTTAATCATTACCCCTCTAATTTTCCAGGAGAAAAAAAAAGTTGATTTATTGAACTGACTGCAGAAAAAGAAGAAGAAGAAGAAGATCAATCTGACATTGTAGGTTAATAGTAGGAAACAAAGCACATTCATAATTAGAAGAGAAAAGGACTTTCCTTGTTCATTCCAGTTTATAATAAAAAGCCCCTCGCTAAAGTGTCTTAGAAAATAATGCATTCAGACTGAGTCGAATTACCGCCTAGCAGATTCTATTTATCTGTAGCTTAAAAAGCAGCTGCGTTTTTGTAAAAAGCAATGAATGTGGCAGTCCTACTTAAAGGTAGAAGAAAAAGAACACCCCTTGTTTTGTAATAAGGGGATTTTCCATTTAAAAGAGAGAGCAAGCCTGTTGTGTGAAGTAGGGTTATTACATTCACTGTATTCTATCTCACCCACCAGGAGGCTAATAATGAAGGGGCCGGGAAGGAGGCCAGTGCTACCAGGGTTATCTCACAACCTCAGATGCTGGATAAGTCGAAGGAGGCAGAATCGCTTTGGGATGACATTCAGAAAGGCTGGAGTGATTACTTGGAAGAGAAAAGCCTACCTATTCTTTCCAAGGTAAACAGTTCATTTCATCTGGTCAGCGGCATGTTGCAGTATACAAATATGTTTATATAAAGATGTCTATAAAATTTTCCTTTTAAAAAATCATTTTAGGTTCAGGAATATTCTCCTGACGTGCTCATCCAATGGTCCAGTAATGAATTACTGGAGACCTGCCTTAGACAAAGAATGCACTCGGAGCCCCAACACACCTAAAGTCACGCTTTGAAGGATCTGCCAAGCTCACTTTTAATCATGAGAAAGAAATTACCCACACGGAGTCAGCAGAAAATGAGAAAGTAGAGCTCGTGCTGTGAATAATTCCAGCAAGTGCCAAGGGGCTAGTTGAGGAATGGCTACATGAGGTGAATATCTTTAGCTTGTACTTAGGGTTTGGTTAGCGTATAATCATTTTCTCTTTTAGGAGCAATGACTATCATACGTGTATTTCCTAACTAAAGAGTGCTCAGAGCATTTGTCAGGATGTTGACAGATTTAATATCAATCTTGCCCATGTTGTTATTTACTATGACTAATTTTACATTTGTAAATATGCAAAAATCAATTTAGGTGGAAAGGCTCTCATCCGAGCCAATGACTGCTACTAGCTGTGCGTATTTGTGTGTATTGCTGTGAGTGCACGTCCAGTAATTTATGTCTCTGTGTCTGTATGTGCCCTTGTTCTCGTCTTCTCTCTGTTGTGAATGCAGGTTGGGAGAATTAGCCAACCATTGGGTTCTCAGATGTGGTCCCAGGCTTTCATTTGATTTTTGGAACGGGAAAAAAGAACGTGTCACATCATGATTAATGGTGAATCTGAATTTTCAATTCACATGAAAGTAGGAAGGGGAGGGGATATGAGTCAAGTGACAAGACTAACCTTTTCCCTTTGGGACGAGCATGATTCAAATTAAACATCACTTTCAGTGTGAAATTAGTTCGAAGGCTGTGTGTGTGTGTGTGTGTGCACGCTCCTGGTTTAACTCCTTGGTGGCTGCTCATTCAGAGAGGATTTCTTCCATCCCAGCTCCGTGCCTGGGTCTACTCCCAGTAGCCCACAGTTCCTCTTCCTTTGTTTTATTTTTCTAAAGATCAGGTCCAGGAAACGAGTATTTTACTATTTCAAAAGCTTCACTCCTCACAAGATAAGATTCTTCCTAAAATGTGCATCCCAAACTAATGTTTTAATACATTAAATCCATCAGTCAGTTAATCAATAATAACATTCTTCTTTATTTAAAGCTAATTTTGTCAGGGAGGAGGGAGAAAGGAAGCAAGGGATCCTTTTGAAAGGCATTTTGAGTGCCCTCCACTCAGTGCCAGTTTTTGCTGGCTGAGTGAGCCACAGAGGAAGAACAGCAACAAAAACCCCCAAGTTCTCTCCTGAGTCTCTAGTTTCCCACATAACAGTCACAGGATTGCCATGCCAACCTTCAGCAATGTTGGCTTTCAGCAAGCATGTGCCTTGACACTTTAAAACTGCCCTTCAATACTGATCCAAAGGATGCAGGTCCAAACTTGTAGAAAGAACCTGCTGCCTGAGCAAATGCAAGGCTGCCTTTCCATGTATCCACATTCTTGATACCACCATTTAAGCATCAGCAGGATTTGATATGTGATTGACTCTTTCTGGAGTTTGGTGGCTGGTGGGGAAAGGGAAAGTGTTGAGCTGGCTAAGAAACAGTGTTATTCTTCTAGTGTATTTTCAAAAGGAAAATGGTAGGGCTCTTAAACCCCTTCCCTAATGGAAGGAGAGATGTGGTAGAGGTGCGATGGGTGTTGCGGGGGTAGCGAGTGGGGAGAGCTGAGCCAGCTGAGGGAGGAGGTAGAGGTGGAGTCTGGGAGGTAGAAAGTGGAGGCAGACAAGCAGCTGTGTTTATTTTAAAACATATCATTTAACCCTCACCTAAAAACAAATTGGAGAGGTTTGGGAGTGCATTAATCTGGACCCAATTAGCATGTCTTTCTCCTTCAAAAGTGCAACCTGAGATTAATGAATATAAACTAGAGTTTCAGATGCAGTGCTTAAATCATTTGCATGTTTTCTGCATGATAATTGAATTTATGTGTGCACTTCCTTTCATTTAACTATTTCCAGTCTCTTCCCTGTGATTCACATGAACCAAGATGTCATAGTAGTCACCTCTAGATGGAAATAGCGTACCTAGCCTTTACTCCTAAGGACAAACTCAAGTTCTTGTTTCTTGTATTTGAATTTGAATAATACATTTTTAAAAAATAAAGCAGAGGGCAGAGCTTAATAGTCTGGAATGCTGTTTTGGGAGCTGGTAGATAGGCACCTCAAGTTTATTTTTGAAAGGCCAGATAAAACCATTGGGATTTATGGTATTGAGTTTTCAGTGGTACAGAGAATTGGGTTTCAACATGGCCACTTAGAAGTGTTTTAATAATACCAAGAGCAATGTCACTTTAATGCAGCATGAAGAATGTTCTTGGTCTTTGGACCTGAGTTATTTAGATCACTGAGAGATTTCAGTGCATAGTATCGTTTCTGGCATCATTGTCTCTTTTGTCGATGGGGTGGAGGTGCCTCTCTATAAAAGGCTGTAGGTGAGCAGTTAGAACTTGTGGTCCCTTAGTATGCTATGCTTTTTTTGTTTTCTTTTGTTATTTAGGTGTAGAGAAAGCTTAATGCTTACAGAGTCAAACAGGTACCAAGATCCCCACTCCCCACCTGCCCCAAAATGAAAAGTCTAAAAGCCGGCATGGATATGTAAGAAAGCTTTCTGGGGAAGAAGTTGGAGCAAGAGGCTTGAAATAATTCCTCTGGTTTCAGTTTGCATCAGTGATTTGTCTGTCTTCTGTCTTTCCGTATGTGTTTCCAAGTTCAATGTCAAAGTGATGAGTTTTTCTCCAGGAATTCTCCTTGGTGTCCTTTGTTTTTGGTGAATTCAATGGCTGAATGTCGCTGAGTGTCTCTTGGTCTTGTTTCCTGGTCCTTGTAGCTAAGAATGTCGTGGAAGGATAAAATCTTGTTAATTCGTGATGTCACAATTTAAGTGTGCTTCCTGTCACTTATGTGCAGTTTAAAATGTTCTTTAATGTAGCATGAAATGATTGGTTAGCTTTGAAATTGTTGTGAAGTCATGTGAAGAAAATAAGTTTTGCATCCGACCAAGATAAATTCACTCTAGTGCTTTATGGCTTTTTATTCCTATGTGATAGTAATAAAGTCTCATGTAGGGATGGAAGCCATGAAATACATTGTGAAAAATCATCAACTAAGAAGGGACCATCAGTATAGAGAACGTTAGCCTGTGGAGCTGTGAATGTGATGGAGACATGATTTAGTGTATAGCTCTGCTACCTGCTTGGTGTTCCTTTGAGTTTCTTTATCCTTAGATTTGACAGCTGAGGAATGTAGGTGGATTCATATTCGTAATCATTGATTAACATGCACACATTTAGGTTTGCACGTTTTTGTTTATCATACATTTTTCTCCGTTTTCTATTAACAAATATGCTCTAGGGGAACTATTAATAGCCCGCCAGTCGGGTAGGCAGCATTCAATCCTTCTATGCCTTCTTTCGCCACCTGTTGAGGTCTTTCTTCTGAAACAAAGAAGAAATAGACAAATCAGACTTGCCCTCTTGGAAATGTGGTCCAGATTTCTCTACTCCCAAGCTCCAAAAAAAGGTATACATTGGATGGGCTAGATCAGTTCCTCCTGAGAGCCATAAATCCACCAAGAGTTGTTTTCCACGTAAGGGTGTGGTACAATGGGGAACACCTGGTGTTGGAGGACAGTGGGAGAACTTTGGAGTGGAGTTGCATTCTAATCTCTCTGCCACATCAACCATGTGACCTGGGGCAAATGATATAAACTCTATGAGCCTCCTTCCTTATCTTTAAAATGAAGAGAAGTAATACCTTGTAGGGCTGTTGTGAGGATTAAATGAAGTAATGCATATGGTACCTAACAAAGTATTTAACATCATATTTTTTAAAAGCTCATGAAATATTAGTTTTTCTTCCTTCCCCTCTTTCTATTTTCTCCCCTGTTCCCTTTTCTCTCCCTCCTCTGCCCTCTCCTTCCTTCAGATGTTAGTCTAAAACAGCACCTTGGATCTAAGCAGCACCTTTGAGAAAGAAAAGACTGCTTCAAGAATGTCTAGCTGCACCTCCTTTCCATATGTGGCCTAAGTGCCTAGGTTGGATCAATAGTTTAATTTTTTTATTGAACTGTTTGATGTTGACTATGGACTTACATTCACTTTTACTGTTTTCTGTATATTTATTTTTGCTTGAACTGTTTTAATATTGACTATTTACCTCTGCTCATTTTTATTGATTTTCTGTATTTTTTCAATGAAAATTATAATAAAAATTAGTTTTTGTTATCTTTTGTCTCTCTATTTCCTTGTGTCTAGACTGCCCCAGTAAGACAAATGATTCTTTTTTCTTAAGAACCACCCACTGTTAGTACCAAAAGAACTATATCCCCTCTCTACTCTCCACTTCCACATTTTGTTTGCATATCAATGTGTTTGGGGACATTTATCAATTTAGTGGTAACTGTGATGCTCATTTATGTTTTAAATATATAAAAGTTAGAATTTGACTTTATCACTAAAGCCTAGGAATAATTGCCAATAAAGAAAAGAACTTTGCAAGTAACAGAAACTTTTTAAAATTACAGAATAATGTAAGTGTATTGCTATAAAAATAGAATGTTGTGAAAATCAGTGACACCACATTTGTATCCAGAGTTCTTTTATCATCATCAAATTTGTTCTTTAAAACTCACACTTACCCCTATAACCCCAGGTCCTAGAAATATCCCTGATAGTAGGGCATTAGTTATTTGCGAAAAAATGAATGGGAAAAGAGGGGAGAAAGATGATGCGGGAGGGAGAGAGGAAGGGGGAGCAAGGAGGAGAATAAAGAAGCAAAAGGCCTATAGGAAAGATATTGTATATAATATTTAGGAAAGCAGGGCAGACATGTGCATGCATGGGCACACACACACACACACACATACACATACACATGCACGTAAAGGCCTACTGCAAGAAAGAGGAGAGTTTTAGAGTAGATATTACTATACCACTCAAGATAAAATGTAATATGAGTGGCATAGAAAAAATTACTATAGGGACCTCATGTAAAGAAAGTTTTCTAGAATCAAGGAAAGACTAATGTCTTTATCAAATTTCCATAGGCAAGGGTCAAGGATTGAAAATTAGTGTGTCAAGGAATTCATGAAAGCTTAAGTGAGTGGTTCTTGGGAATTTTTCCAACACACAAAGTATTCTACCCTGGAGAATATATTTACTTCTAAATATCTTCACAAGTACCCTTTGAAGCAGATAGTAGGTTTTAATGGACACACTTACTTAGATTAATTAATTACTGCTGAGTCTCAGTGGTCTGCAATCAGCCTTTACCCATATGGGATGAGATAAGTCTAAGCTTCCAGCGTGCTGGTGATTTCAGGAATGGCCATGTATTTGCCTAGTTTCCCCTTCCCTGTGCTCTTGTGTGGTTCTATCTGAATTCCAATACTTGATACATCTCTGAGGCAACTTGTGCAAAAGTGATTGTCTCCAAGAAGGGCTCAGCAGCTCCCAATAGCTCTGGATATTGACTCTGTCACCAGATTCTGACCTTTTAAAAAGTATTGGCTGGCAATAAATCTCACAGGGTATTCCTACGTAAAGTGCATATAAATATGTTGGTCAGTGGAACAGAATGCTGCAATGAAAGGTGATCTCTCTCAGCAAGTGAATGAGTAAACCTCTCAATCTTGCCACTAGTCTTGGCACAAGCAGGAGACACAAGCATCAGGAAAGAATGAGAGTGTGACAATATTGCAGAGCCATCTTTCTCATGTTGCTTAACTCTATGCCCTCATCAGAAATTTCTCTTCATCAGAGGTCTCACCAACAACATTGTCTTCTTAGTCATTGGGGGACAATATTTACGGGATCTGGGTTTGGGCAGCTTAAGAAAAAAACCATACATCGTCCTACATATTCAAATCCCAAAATGGTGCTATGGAGTTGGTAGGACTCCTAAGAAGGTGAAATAGAGAGTTTGGAAACCTTATCTCATTATTTGAGTGGTAACAGGCACACTGAATCCATGGTTCAAATCACAGAGCCTGATCTTTCTCATCACAATTTGGACGTCACCAAGTAGACATGCACACTGTGTTTCTCAGGTGCAAATGAGCTCATACTGGCACACACCCTTCCTCTTGCCCACCTTTATCAGCAAAGTCACCCACATCTGCACGTGAGACATGACTGAGGAAGAAATAAACCTGCAGCTTGGGATCAGGGTGGGGTCTACCAGGAGTGCAGAACCCAAAACCTCAGTGAGCACCAAGTAATGGGACCCTCTTGGTCATGAGCCTCAGGTTTTCCGCTTCTAAACCAATTCCTGGAATCATATCTCTGTAGGGTAGCTACTCCAGAAAGGGTTTCCCCAGACCCGGGTTTTATAGATTAGACTATTCTTGGATTTGAAACACTGATGTCCAAAAGGTGGAGTGGGATGAGGTTTGAGGAAAATCTCTCTTGATACTATTAGATGGCCCTTCTAACAACCTTCCATAAAAGAGACTCTGAAACATATGATAATTCAGAGATGGAAGTCAGTAATACCAGGCCTTTTTACCTTTCTCTTCACCTTTATTTCTTATCAAGAAGAATGCAAAATAAATTGGTTGGTTTAAGGTAATAAGGTTTGCCCTTACAGTTCATTGTTTCATTCCATTAGCTTTTTTTTCTCTTTCATCTGTTTAATTGGACATTTAAAAAATCTTTTTAAAATGATAAATATTCTGAGAGTATGTTTTAGCAGGGAATACATAAGCAATTTATTGGTAGTTCAAAATTAGGTTACACAATGAGGGCTCAATAAATGTTGATGACTTAATTGCTTGCTTAATTAAGCTCGAAGTTCTTATAGTGACACCCAAGGCTCATATGACTTGCATTCACCCCATCTTTCCGACCTCATCTCTTGCCACTCTCCCCATTGCTGACTTTAGGGTGTTTCATAAATACACCAAGTGTACTTCTACTTCAGAGCCTTTGAAATTGTTTCCTTGACCTAGAATACCCTTCTTGGATATTTACATGTCCACTAGCTCACTGACTCAAATCTCTGCTCCAAAATCTGTGATCAATGAGCCTTGCCCTGACTGTGACTATAAAATCACAAGTCTCCTCTTCTTCCAGACTCCCACCACCTTGTTTTTTTCCGTAGTACTTTTCATCATCTGATATACTACATATTTACCTGTTTCTTTCTTTGTTTATAGTCTTACCTTACTAGTTCTGGGGGACTGGAAGAGAAATCTTTCTCTTTATTTGCTACTTTGTCCCCAGAGCCTAGAATTATGTCTGCACATAGTAGACACTCAAATATTTGTTAAAAGAAGTAAACATATATGGTACTTCCTGGCATTATTGTGTCAAGATACCACCATTATATGTTATGACAACAAAGAAGCACATTTCTCACAGAGTTCGGCATGCTCTAACCATTATCTCCTTGTAAGACACATAGTTTTGCTTTTCTAGTTTTCTCTTTTATAAATAACGCTGAAATGGATCTTTCTTTGCCCATCAACTTTTATCTCTATTTTTCCTTAGAATAAATTCTTAGTAGTGAAGTTACCAAGTTAGAAATTAATGGACATTTTTGTGACTCTTTATTATCAAATTGTTTTCCACGAATGTTGCACCAGTCTACACTCCTAGCAGAAGTAAATGTCAGAAAATTCGTATTTACCTTCTTTTCTTTCCTAATCAGTGTTATGCCGTTTTGCACAAAGTTAACCAGATTCCCTTGCTGTCTCCATTCCTTTTTTTTGTTCCCTCTGGGAGTGTCTGTCAAAATACGCTATTTCTATTTACTTTTCAACTTCGATCTTAAATTTCTAGAATGAAAGCAATCATTTTAGAAATGGAAAGAAACCATAAATTATATATTTCAATCCCCCATTCTACGTATGAGGAAATGGAGTTCATAGATCACACTGCTGACTACTAACAAGGCCAGGAGTGAGAGACACAGGACTTTGGTGACTCATGTCAGCACCTGAAAATATTTGAAAACCATGAATCACCAAATAGGAATCAAAGTACAGCATGCTAACTCTTAAATACCAGTGTCTACCTGTTCCTTGTTAAAATTAAGGTCAAAATGTCCACAAGAGTATCTCTTGATGTTGAGAGATTAGCTCTGTTTGTGGTGTGTATGATATAACTTTGAAGTTGCACTACCTGTTCTACTTACTGTGTTAGCTTGTTCCGGAATCTTTTGTTTATCTAAGACTCTTGCACAATCTGGCTCCTTCACATTTGTCTCTTTTTTTGTGAATTTCATAAAATTGTAAGGCAACCAAGAAATGAGCAGCATTTGTTAAATTTCTTTGAATAAAAGTAAAACAATTAGATAGTTGGTATTCCTACTAAAGAGAAAGCTCTTGGGCTTTTCCAAAGCTATCACCAAATTGTCATTTGGAGACTTCGTGGGAATGGCGACTCACACCAGCATGTACATTTATATAAGCCTTTGGAGACATCCACATCTATCTTCACAGATAAACACATATAGTCTCTCATTTCTCTGTAGAGAAATACACATTAATGAAAAACTTAAAATTATATGTTGCCTTTCCTTTGAAATCTTCAAGACTAGTCCTATGGTTTTCTTCCACATCAAAAAAGTCTTAACACTTTTTTCAGCTATGATGTTCTTACATTACTCATGAATTTGTAAGAGGAATGCCATAGATCAAATGGTAGTTAATATCCATATTAACTACTGTTAATAATAAACAAGAACTGTTTATTCCCAGATTTTGAAGGATGAATCAGTTGAGAATTTAAATAGGATACTGTGTTCTGATAAAAATTAGTAGTATATGAAGATATATCTTAACTGGCGACTACTCTAAATGCAGGATGTCCGTAATTTCTATTTATGAAGAATACACTGTTATTTACAAATGGACATTAATGTCTCTAAAGAAAATGTAATAGCCTAGGTAAAATAAACAGATGACTTAAGTTGACAGGAGAAATCCAAAAGGAATGATAATGAATAAATTGAATAGATGCTCACTATGGTTGTATGTGTAGATGTGTACATGTGGGTATACCCATTTGTTTCAGGGCCACAAATTTCTATTAAATTCAAGGACCAAAAGGCATGAGGCTCGAAAGAAAACCAGGCTTTAAGCAAGTGCTGCACATGCTTTTGCAAATATTATTTTCATCTAAAATATCTACCTCTTGGTTATGGCCCCGTCTTATCCAGATTATAGAAACTAATTTCAGTATTTTTCTCAGTTTCATCAAATTCAATTTTTTAAAGCCAATGA